AAATATTTTAAATGAAGTGTAATAAATTTGTATATTATTGGGCTGCAATTTGAAAAAATTGTAGACCTATATATTCCCATTGTTGTCTGTCTATCCAGTCTTCCTTAATCTCAAGAGTGGTGTTTACATGAAAGTTGAAACCAGATATGAAAAGCTTAGTGGTATGAGGCCTCAATTAACTATATATGAACTTCCGATGCAAACTGGAAGTCACATTATTTCAATTCAAAACTTTCCCAAATGGAGTTAGATAGATGACTGGCATGACTCTTGCGAGCATGATATTAAAAGTATGATGTATAGGAGCAAGCCACTACAGTATTAATTTGAGATGGAGAACATATATTTTAAATTAAATTAATTAAAAATATGATTAAGAATTGCAGCCTGGCATTATGACAATGTTACAATAAATAATTGCTCATATTTAAAATGTTATATTTTAATGGTGTTTTGGAAAATAAAAAAGTTGGTTCTTTTTATTAAATTTTAATTTATTGACAAGACTATGTCTTGTTTATAAAATCATACTACTGGTTTATGTTACCAGCTTAGAGATATGAAGGAGTACTGTACATGTCAAGAGTTGATATTTGGCACAGAATATTAGGTACCCAAATCATTTGCACATAAAAAAAATCCAGACTTGTAGGTAGTCAGAGGACCAAGAACCAAGTCAAAATAAAATGTACGTTTCCTGCCCTTTTTCTTTTCAAACAAGCAACAATCGACACTGTAGAAACTCGGATCAAGAAACGACCAGTAGTTTTGAATCTACGATCGCTGATTGGCCAGTGATCATTGTACGATTGGAAGATGTCTGATAATACTACAAAACGCTGATTGGTTGATCAGCGTTTTCTTCAATCCGTATAAAAAGATTGGGTTTAGGCAGGAGAGCTAAGTTGGTCTGACTTCACTGAAGTACGCCGAAGTTTGTCTAAGTTTGCCTAAGCTCGTCTAAGTCAAGTTAGTTGCTAAAATGATCTTGTTGAAGAAGGTGGTTTCATCTCGCCAAGCTGTAATGAATGTCTGAAGGGATATATATATAACTACATCTGAGGAATACATCACAAGGTGACCTTTTTGATGGACCTGTAGTGGATTACTTGACTTTTGGACTCTGATTTATTTTGTGTGTGAAAAGCTACTTTGCAAATCTTAAACGTTGTCATTTGTAGTTCTTGTGAACATCATAAGTATATGTAAATCTTATTTGTTGTTATAAACGTTTTGTGAACTGTGATTAGTGTGATTTCGGAATTTGACTGGTTCCTTATATCAAAACGTTCAAAATTTCATCCTCTACAATCCCCCAAATTTTTAAAACGTCATTCTAATACACCCTGTATATTATTTATATAACTAGCTTACCCGTCGCGCATTGCTGCGATCTCAGAAGAAACGAAATTCAAGCAAACTCGTTATAATAAAATTCAATTTACATTTTATCATTTTTATTGAAACTTATTATTATATTATTATTATTATTATTCATTTTCATTGGAAAAACATTTCAAAGTGTCGTTTCAATTCTATTTATTTATTGGAGTGCTTGTGGATACACGATATTTTTTGTTTTNTAATTTCTCCTTCCTCTCTTCCTTGGCATGTTGTGAAATTTCTGATAGTTGGATAATTAACCGTTTTATTGTAATTTGTCTTTTTAAATTATTTTGAGTTGATATTAAAATTTGGAAAAGGCAGGATCCCTAGATCAGTAAAATAGGCAAATTTCCTTCTACAACTTTGGTTGTTGTTTGGGATACAGTTAAGGTTTTAACAAAGTTCAAGCGAATACATAATTAGCAAAAAATAGTTGAAATAAAGTGATTAAACAAAAATTATTACAGATATCGTAAATAACAGTTCACAAATGCATATATAGAGATATTTTTTGGAGGGGGGAAATGGTCTTCACAATTTGAAATCAATCGAACTCATGATGAAATGCTCATATACACTCGCTCCATCTACCATAGGATAAATGTACTATGCCAGAAACCTTCGCAGGAGTGTATTAAAAACTTCCCAAAGTTTCATGGCAGTCGTACTATGCCAGAAACCTTCACGGGACTATATTAAACAACTTCCCAAAGTTTCATGACAATCGAATAAACAGTGTGGTAATGCATGAAGGACATACATTCATTTTTATATATATAGATAAACAAAAAATGCAAGTTTTTATCAAGAAAACTCACAAAACTTGACTTAAATAATCTTTAACTTCAGTTACAGTCTACATAATCACACATAAAATTTGGGTTTAAATAAATCAAACGTTATTTTAAATAAAAAACTACAGTGGGTGATTGGTTATCGAACACTTTCCTGAAAGATTTTTATGTTCTGATAACAAACACCTCACAGAACAAACACAGGAAGAAGCAACATAAAATAATGAATATCGATTGGTCTTTCCTTGTCTTCCAGCAACAATTTGAAACTTTTTGGAGTGCAGGAGATGTTGACATCAATGCTCAACCCAGTATATACTGATTGATAGTATTCCTCCAAACTTTGAAACTTCTCCATTGCAATTCCAGCCTTTTATTTTTCTGACAAACAATTCTTTTATAGTATTCATGAGATTGCCAGACAGGCACTCATTACATTTTGTGTTGGTTTTTATTTTTGAAAGGTGAGAATATAATAGCAAAGGTAGAAAATGAGCAGAAGTGTGTGTCTGATGTTGCTTAGCAGTATGACTTAAACAGGTCTACAGCAGGCTGCAGTTCAATCTTATCTAAGAAAAAAAGTGTATAATCAAGAAGACTCAAGCAGCTAAAGGAGTAACAAAAATCACATCTGAGAAATAAAGAACATCAAAGAGTTCATAATGGAACCTGAAATGGATCTGACAATAGAAGAACGCCAAGAACTCTTGAATGAACAACACCAAGAAACTTGGCGAGATATGTTTTCTTCTGAAAAAAGAGGATTAATGCCGATATCTGCTATTAAAGAACTTCTGAGGAAGTGGGAGGATGTCAGAATAACGGTCTTAGAATGGCATCCAAACAAGGTTGAGGCTAATAGGGTTAGAGATTTCTACAATTACAATGCTATTAAGTACTTCTGAAAAATCCCAAAGAAGAGAGAAAAGCAATCTTTAATCCTTTCAAACGGAAAAAAACATGACTAATAAAAATGCAAGACTGTTTATGTATGTATTTTTACTATTACATATAAATAAACGTAGTAAGAAAGTATATATTTTTTATCTTTTGGGGTCTTCAGAATGTATTAATCAAATTCCCATAAAAACCTATGGTAAACTGATAATCAATTAATGAACAATTCGGATAGTGAACAAAGTCTTGGAATGGATTATGTTCGTTAACCAATCACCCACTGTATTTATAAAATTAAATAAAATAATACCTTTAATAATTTTAAAGGAACTTAACAAATTAGTAATATCAGATTTCTNATAATAATATATCAGGAAGCATGCAAGCGCCATCCGATGACAAGCTCCACGACAAAAACAAGCTTAAGCAAAGGCGCCATCGAACAGTGCACACTTGGTAAGTAATCCTACAATTTTTTGTTTATAGCATAGTTTATGTGGATTAGTCCCAAAAAATTATACGTATTTTGGAAATGTTGAGTCGAATTAGTCTAGAATTGATTAATTTTATGGAAGAAACCTTTCAAACAGCCATAGTCCGTAAACTGCATACGTGCCGAGCTGTGATTGGCTGGACTTGTAGAAAATGGATTCATAAAAACCAGAACGTATCTACCGTATTATGGGGGGGATCAACTGTATATACTGTTATATTATTTATTACATACATACAAACACATACACACACACAGACATATACTGAGTAGTAATGAAGTTAAAAAATATATCATTTAAAAGAAAACACATTTTAAACTTTAAAATCTTCAATATTCTAAATCTAATATTAAGAATTATACAGGGTGAGTCATAAGTCTCCATACAAATGGTGAAAGCAGTGACTAATATTTATTTTATTTGTACAAATGGTATGATGCCAACAGAATAATGTCAATCCGTTCTTTGTTCGTTAGTGGCATTTCTCTTCAATTTCTCTACCCGAAAATGAAAAAGAAATTAGTCACCGCTTTCACCATTTGTATGGAGACTTATGACTTACCTGGTATGTAAATTTGGTTTAATAAAAAAGTAAATAAAACTTATTCTATTACTAAAAAATTTTTATGTTAGAAATTATTCTTCTGTATTAGTTAATTACCTATTTTATAAATTTTTTCTTCTTTCTGAGAAACAGATTTCTGAAGATACTGAATATTTGATTCAGAAATTAATAAATTTTGAGCAAGATCTCTTTGCTTCTCTTCTATAACTTGTTCATTTATTGAGTCAATACTTATGTTTTCATTATCCTCTTTATTCAACTTATTTTGAATATTTTTACTTACAAATTAAGGAAAGACAATTTAACTATTATAAATTTTACAATTAATATAAGATAAAGGATACATCTTTAAATTGCCTTTGACATTTTGGACTGTTCTAAAAATATATAAAAATAATAGAGATTATATTTGTTATAATTTCAATCCAATAATATTGAATTAAAGCAAAATTTTATCATTATTTTGCTTATGTTTTTGAATAATATAACTTTTCATTCATATGTCAATAATAATGTATTTTTAATTTAGCACACTTTCAGTTAATGCATTCTCATTTTAATGCAATTTTCCATTAATTATGAGAAACTTTTATACTACAGGACACTTTTTTAGTATTACACAATTCTGAAAATGGTCACTATTAGATGCTGCATGAAAAAGTCACTTGATGTGCTATAAGAATACAGTAAGATCTCGCTTAACGCTGATTCGATATAGCGTGGTCTGCTCAAAGCCTAAAAAAGCTCAAAATTTACACTGATTTAAATTATTGCGGCATTTCATTGATTCGTATATAATACGATTATTTGCAAACACAAACCAATCAGTAAAAGGTGGCAAAAAGGTATACTTTATTTAAATTTATGTTTGTTTGGTCCAATTTTGGAAAAAATATAACATCACAGATGCCATAGGAAATATCAACTTCGCCTGGCAAGAATTAACTGATAAATGCACAAACGAAGTATGGAAGAAGCTATGGCTGAAGGTATCCAAGAATTCTCAACAAAAAGAGCCTATCGCTGTATTGTTAGGTTGACCAAACTCAACCTAATCAATAATGCAGAACTAAGAAATGTAGATGAACAGGATATTGTGGAGTTACAGCAGGTTTCTGGTGAGAGCCTTACCAATGATGACCTTCAAAAACTGGCAGAACATGGAATTCATGTGGAACTGGAAAATAGAGATTCTGAAAATGAACCCAAAAAAATCTCTCTACAGATTTCCTCAGTAAAAGTTCAGTAATAATAACCAAAATTGTTGATCAAATTGTAGCGAACGATCCAGATTTTGATAGGAGCATGAAAGCAAAACAAGGTGTTTTGGATGCGATCTCTTGCTACTTTACAAATCTCTTTACTGACATTTGCTTAAGGAAAGAAAAAAGTGACATATAAAACTTCATGATTTTATTGCAAAAAAAAACAAGAATTTCAGAAAAGTCAGGACAAAAAAAAAATCACAAAAGATTTATCACAAATCTTTGATTACTA